TCGGAAGGTCTTCAGGTCGGGAGGTCCGCAAGACGGAAAGACCTCAAGTCGGAAGGTCTTCAGGTCGGGAGGCCCTCAAGATGAAAGACCTCAAGTCGGACGGTCTTCAGGTCGGGAGATCCGCAAGACGGAAAAACCTCAAGTCGGAAGGTCTTCCGGTCGGGAGGTCCGCAAGACGGAGAGACCTCAAGTCGGAGGGTCTTCAGGTCGGGAGGTCCGCAAGACGGAAAGACGATGAATCGGAAGGTTTTCAAGTCGGGAGGTCTTCGAGACGGAAAAGTTGTCGAGATAGGATATCCGCAGGTCGGGTAAACTGTAGGTCGGATAGAAGGCGGAGTCGGACAAACGCGGAGGCCTTTGATCAAAGACAGGGGGCGGTTGATATGGAGGTCGGCCCAAGTGGGGTCGGGCGAAGAAGTAGGTCGGACGAAGGACGAAGTCGGGCCAAAAGAGCGGAAGGTTTGTGGTCGGCTCAAGGAGCGAAATATAGGGAATTTTGGTCTGCTGGGGACACGTGTCAGCATGAGAAAGGTTGGAAGACGGTTGAAAAGGAGACGTTGTAACCGTTCGGGTGACGGTTTTCAGTACGGTTTCCCAGGGAATATTTAAGGATTTGAATCATCGTTTGGCGAGGCATCTTCAATCAACTTCAACAAAGCAAAGTCAGATTTGGGGATCACCACTTTAAATTTCAGTATTTTATTTTCCAGTTTAGTTTCTGTACCGTACAGTGTTTAGAGATTCCTAATCTCAGGCACTAATTAATCAAGTTTAAGGATATTTTCTATATCTTTGAATTTTACTTTATTTTTGTTGAAAAATTACATCAACAATACTTTTATTATTTTAAAAGTGATGTATAGTTTTACTTTTTGGAAAGTGATACATAATTTTATTTGTCTTGATAGCATTAAATTATTTATTTAAAATTATTTTATTGCTAATAAATATTAATTATAAATGTTAATTTTTTAATATATATATAATTTTTAAATAAAATATAAAGTATATATATTTGGGTTATAATGTAAAAATAAATTAAAGTTGAAATGTAATTTATAAATATAAAAGGTTATGTAAAATAATATAAAAAATAAATATATAAAAAATATACTTTTAGAGTAAAATTTGAAATATATAGTTGGAGTAAAATAGTAGATCGACTGTATTTTTACTGTAGCTACTGCAAAATTAAAGTTGAGGGTTGGAGATAGCCTGAATATTGAGTTTGTTCACTTTGTGTTTTTTTAGATGAATATATCCTTATATATTATTGTAATACTCCCGTACATACGCTATGAAGATCAAACATGTCAGTATTAGGCTGGCCCCACAAGCCAATACAAGTCTTTTCAGTCCGTTTTTGTCCTCATTCACACATCCTGTAATACTTTCCGAGAGTCACACATCCTTAAATTATTCTAGAGCAGACATAGCACTGGTTCATCCGTACACGAGAGTTGACCTTGCACCGGTTCATCCGTACACGAGAGTTGACCTTGCACCGACCAAACTTTAGATATCACATTCACCCCCACTAAAAAATACAATGTCCACACTACATCCCAAAGATCCATCAATCCGGTCAACAACTATGGGCTGTCACAGGTTGGCTCCGGGGTATTACATCCACTCCCACTTAAGAATGCAATGTCTACCTTGCACCCCAAGAATCCATCAACTATTATGCTCCTCAACGGTCCAGTTAACGTTTATAGATTACTACAAGTTATCTCTATACCAACTATAACATCTTAGTAGGGGTGATCGGTTTCGGTTTGTAAAAATCAAAATCGAAACCGAACATAAATGTGCAAAATCAAACTAAATCGAACCAAAGTAATTCGGTTCGGTTCGGTTTAAAACCGAACAAACCAATCTTTTTTAAAATTTTTATGATAATACACCAACTTATTCGTTTAATTCATTTTTCATCACCAATGCAGATTTATTTATCCTAATTACATGTTCCAAGCAATTTACAAATGGATCAAAAACTGAAATATAAATATTTAAAAGATCAAATTATAACAATATATAAAATATAAATTGTATTTTATTTAAAATTTGGTTTTTTTCGGTTTATTCGATTTGAAAATTGAAAACTATAACGAACCAAAACTCAAATTTATAAATTTCATTTTAGACTGAATCGAACCAATGAACCAAACAGACCAAACCGATTTGTCCAAAACGAAGAAAAAAAAAATTGGTTTTTTCAGTTTAGACCGACCAATGCTCACTCCTACATCCTGGTCCGCAAGTCACGCAAACCTGACTTGTTGGGATTAGGCAGGCCCTGCAAGTCTTTTAAACGCGCTTTTGTCTTCACTCACGCAAAACTTTCTATGGGTTACTCTTCTTCAAATTATCCTAAAATAAATATGATTAACTTTAGAGTTCTATCAAATGGGCTCTCGAAAGAAATATGTACATTGTTGACATAGATAGTTTATTCAATCCACTTAATCAATATTTAATCTCGGATGACATAGTACCGACTTATCCATATACGAGAGTTGGCCTAGCATTTGCCCAACTCTGTAGTATCACCTGTTATGTATGGAGAATTATAAAATAATATTTTGTGTTGAATAGTTGAATTTTTGCAAGCGAATAATATATTATATATATATATTGTCTTAATGTGTGTATATTGTATTTTTAATACTTCATCCGTCCCTTGACAAAGTATCTATTTTTTTATTTTTTTTTTTGCGTCACTTTAATTACTTAATACTAAAAATATTATTATATTTGTACAATATTTTATACAAATATTATTGTATTTATATTATAAAACACTAATAAAAATATTTTTATTTTTTTTTAAATTTATAGTATATAAGAATATAATACTCCATTCCGTCGTGTATAAAGGTTACCGTTTACTTTTTGCACATAAATTTTTTAATATTAATATTATATTGGATTGTAGTGAAAAAGACAAAAATACCCTATTAGTATTGTGTAATATAAAAGTAATGACATTTGTGTAATATAGTGTAAGAGCACACCCAACGGCCAAAGTGGATAAAAGCCTCCATAGAAGACGTGGATCCGATGTGTCAAATTATTTTTTTAACCCTAATCAATTTTCTGGATAATGGCTCACTTTTTACTCCATCGAAATCAACTTTGCAAAAAAAGTATTTATTTTACTATACCCCAAATCACCCTATTCTTTCTTCAGCGGAAACCCGGTTGGAGACGTCGGAGAAGCTCGGAGCAAAGAAGCTTTCCTCAATCAATCTTCGGTGAGTCGTTCTCTGCTATTTCTCCTTTCCTTCGCACAAACCAATTCAAACAATCAAATCGAAAATTGACAGAGACAACGTACCGACAATCTGGAGAAGCGATTGAGGAGGAAGGGGCCGCAGCGGCTTACTACAAAAAAATAATATATTTGTAACGGAATTCCGTCCCTAAAGTTCACGTAGCTAACGCAATTTTATTTCTAATTCCGTCTCTAATGTCATTAGTAACGGAAAAAATAGATTTAGAGATACAAATATTTTGTTACAAAAATGATTATTTCTTGTAGTGGTTCACCGGAGAATTTCACCTCCCTCTGGAGCCCTCTGAAAAACCACCATCTCGGTCCTTTCAAAACTCCGCGTCGGAGCCCTCATCGACGGATACTTTCTTAGAGGATGAAACAGATTTCACACAAAACCTAAGAAGGAAAGGGGAAAAAGGGAAGAGAGAGAAAATTTATAATAAAATTTCCGATCGAAGGAGCTTCGCCTGCACCACGGTGCTTGCGACTTGAATCGATATTTTTCCGTGGATAGAAGAGTCGTTGCGGATGAAGAATTTTGATTCTGGAACGCGAGGCGGTCGAAACAGTGGGAGAAGGCTTCTATTACTCAGCCATTGTGTTTGCTCTAAATTGAAAGAGTATTTATTATTTTAGACAGTTAGTACAATTGGGACAAACAAAAATAAAAAATGATAAATACATAGTTACGAGATGATGAAGAAAGTAATATTTATAGAAAATTGATTATTGATGTATCTTTTATACTACATGCATAAATATCAAAAAAAAAAAAAAAATGGAGCTGAAAATTCAGCATCTACGATGTTTTAGTTCAATTATTAACCATATCATTAAATAACTAATCATTAATTATCTCGTTTAATTGCATAACTAATATCCAACACAAGTGTTTGAATTAAACAATGTCAGCACTTCATTGTCTTCGATAAAAAAAAAAAAAAAAAAAAAAAACTTATACTTCATTTATCTCGTTGAAATTGTTACGTTCACTTTTTTGACATAAATTTTAAAATATCATTATATTGAATTGTAGTAAAAAAGACAAAAGTACACATATTAATAGATATTTGTGTAATATATTGTAAGTTGAAAGGATATTTAATATGTTACGCATGTAGTACAATTATTAAATTATGAAATGATAATCTTATTTTGGGACGGACAAAAATAAAAAATTGCAACATTTCAATGAGACTGATAGAGTATAAAATTATTATACTTATAAATACATGCAACAAAATGATTATTATTATTATTATTCATATTGTCATTTAAATTTATACTCATTTTTTTTTAAAATAGTTATCATAAAAATATATATATTTTTTCTATTCTATAGCAAAAAAAATAAAGTACATTATACTCCTTTGGTCCCATAAACATAGTCTTAATTGGGTTGGACGCGAGATTTAAAGAATATTGATATTATATTGGCTGTTGGTAAAAAGTATGGATAAAAGATTTTTTTGCCATTGTGAGTATATTAGTATAAAAAATAGTGGCAATTGTATAATAAAAATGAAAAAGTAAGAATAGTTTTATGGTGATATGATTATTTATGAAAATAGACTATTGCTTTGGAATGGACAAAAATGATAAACAATACTATTATATTAGGACGGAGTGATTGAGCTTTGATTACAAACTGTGATTATTATTATTATTATTATTATTATGATGTATAAATTGAGACAAGGGTTGGATGAGCCAAAAGGTATATTGTGGTGACATACATAATATACATATATATATATAAATATAAATACATACATACACAAATATACAGCTAAGGGGTACGTATGTAAGAATTGAAACAAACAAATTTACTTAATTAATTAATTAAGGACCACCAACCGTATATCGAACTGTCGCTGCTAACTCACTCACTCGCTCACTCTACTGTACACTTCCCTTCCTCCTTCACATGGAGGACATCACCAACAAGACAACAACATCAACAATAATAATAATAATAATAATAATAATAATAATAATAATAATAATTCTATAAAAAAATAAAATAAAATAAAATTAGGGTTGCAGGGATGAAGTCGTAGGGGAAAGAAGAAGAAGCTCTTTATCGTCCCTATCCATCCAACCATTTTAATTCCAATATATATAAATATTTCTATATATATATATATATATAAATTAATTAATTAATTAAAAAAAAAAAAAGAAAATCTAAATATGGCATCCGAAGCAGTTGCAGGTTTTGGGCGTGAAGGAGCAGTACCCGAATGGTCTGTTCGGAATGTTGCAGTTAATGGCGTAGCAGCACGGCGACGCCGTACAGTAGCTCCGTCCGCCGCCGCCGCCGCCGCCGCAGCACGTGCAGAGAGAGCACACTTGAAATCTGCCTCGCAGTCTTCTCCGGTTACTTTCATCCATTTTCATCATCATCGCCGCCATCATTTCCCCCTTCGCCGCCACCGGCACCATTTCCTCCACCACCGTCGCATTCCCCTCCACCCCCACCGCCACCTAATAAAAAAAAAAAAAAATCACAGTCACAACTACGGGATCTAACAAAGAAAAACAAACAAAACCCACATTCCAATTCAAGAAAACCCCCAAAAATCGAAACTCACTAAACCGAAAAGAACAATCAGAAGCAAAGCCCCGCCGCGCATCTCGACGGCCGCCGGCGAAAGGTAATCGGAGAAAAGTGCCGGCGAGAAAGAGAGAGAGAGAGGGGGGAAAAAAATGTAGAGAGAGAAAGAGAGATTCTTGAATGAAATTAGGTATCAATCAATCAATGAATTATCCATTCATTATCATCATCAATCAATCAATCAAACCGTCCATCCAACTGTAATAAATAAAAGTAGTTTGGAATTATGAACAACAAAATGAAAATCAATTTTTCAAAATTTAATTTAATGGAACTCAACTGTCAAGAATATATAAAAATTCTTGGAATGAAAAATATCAAATTTGCAAATTGGGAAGAAAATTCAGAGAGGGGAAGAAAGAAGACAAAGAGAGACAACGTGGGTTGGATTGGCTGCCACAAAAATTAAATAAATAAATGTAATGAAATTATATATTATTGTAAGTAATGTAAGGGTGGGTGTGAAAGGGAAAGCTGGCAATGTTTGAGAGAGAGCAGCAAAGCAGACAGTGACAGTCATGGCTGAGCCTTATGCCTTCTTTCTTCCACCTTCATTCCTCCATTTCTCACTTAATATAGATATACAGGAAAATGGTAAAAAATAAAACATTATTTATTTATTTTTTTTTTGGTACCCTTATCATTTTAGTCTCGTAAGTGGAGCCTGTCACAAACTAGTCTCATAAGTGAAAAATTTTCGCTGTTTTAGTTCTCCGGCGCCGAAGATGCCCGCGTAACTCGCCGAAGGTGACGTGTCTGTCAGGTGTCACTGACCTGGCGGACACGTGGATTTTTTTTTTTTTCACTTTTTAAAATTTTTTTAAAACTTATTTTTAATTTTATTTGTATTTTTTTATTTGGTCCAATTAAAAAAAATTAAAAAAAATTAAAAAAAAAAAGAAAAAATAATAATAAATACACGCGTCTGCCAGGTGTCGCTGACTTGGCGGGACACCTGGCGGACACGTCACCTCCGGCGAGCCACGCAGGCGTCTCCGGTGCCGAAGGACTAAAATAGTGAAAATTTTTCACTTATGAGACTAGTTTGCGACAGGCTCCATTTACGAGATTAAAATAATAAAGAGGTCCAATTACGGGACTAAAAAAACAGTTTATCCTATTTTTTTTAGGTAAATCTTATTAGGTTGACAAAATATATTCTAAATATTTTCAAGATCGTCATTTTTGTTCTATAATTGCACATGAAATAACGACATTTTAAAACTCGTACTCCCTCCGTCCCGGTGCAAGGTTGTCGTTTATTTTTTGCACGTAAATTTTTTAATATTAGTATTATAATAGAGTTCTAGTAAAAAAGACGAAAATACCCTTATTAGTATTGTGTAATATAAAAGTAATGACGTTTGTATAATATAGTGTAAGTTGGAAGGGTATTTATTATGTTAGGTACGTAGTACAATTACTAAATTAGGAAATGGTAACCTTGTTTTGGGACGGATGAAAATGAAAAATGGCAACATTTCAATGGGACGGAGGGAGTATAATAATTAAATATATATGAGATGATATTTTCTACTCTATCCGTCTCCGTACAATATTCTTGTTTATCATTTTTATCCGTCCCAAAATAATAATCTCATTTTCATAAATAATTATATCACTATAAAACTGCTCCTTAAATCCCATGCCAAATACAACTCAAACTATAGTTTTGGGACGAGAATAGTACAATTTTCTATATATAGTATGTGTATGTTTTTGTGTTTATTGTTGACCGTTGATTTCGAGATGGATACAGATCCAACGGCCCATTGAGAGGTACGAAATTTGATGAGAGATCGACAAGTCCAAATTAGGCAGATGTTGAAAATATATAGTCGCCCAACTCAATATACACTAAAAAAATGCTATCTCCGTTTTCGAACACATGATCTATTTATTCTAATTATTTACTCTCAGTTTCAGCTAATTTGTCTCTTTTAATTTAGCCACCAGATTTAGGTATTGTATAACTAGTAAATAATTAAAAAATATATTAGTGAAAATAATTATAATTTAAGATTAAAATAGCTAAATAGTTTAATTAAAATATAATAAATTATAAATTATAAATTTTAAAATAATTATCATTTAAGATTAAAATGACTAAATTACAGTGTATAACTAACTATATTTCAAAAAAATAAATAAAGAACAAATTATATGAAACATACGAAAATAAAATGAATGAGCAAATTAGGTAGGACGGAAGTAGTAAATAATATAGTTTAATAATTTATTAATAGTAAAATATACTTAATATATTATTTTATTAATTTTGTAACGAATAGTGTTGATATTTTAAAAATATGAATTAATATATATATATATATATACAATTAAAAGAAATTTAAAATACATATTGAAATATTCTTAGTATTATATTTTAATAAAAAATATATTTTTGTAGATAATAAAATTTCATATGCCATGAGAGAGAGGCAGTATTTATTTTATATTATAGTAAAACAATTTATATACAAATACTAAAATACGTCTAATTTACAAAAATATCCATTTATTTTGTATTTTTAAAAATATAAATATCAAAATTATTTTACATATGTCCATTAACCAATAAAATATTATTATTTTTTAATTTATTAAAAAAATAAATAAATACATTGTATCCGATAGGAGAGAATATTATTTTCCATGTGTTTAATTTGTGATTATTTTTTCTTTTATAGACAATATTACACAATTATACCATATTCTATAATGTACAATTACAAAAGCAATATGTACAACGATCTAAATTATTCAATGATATTCACAAAGGTTCCACCATGGTCCACAATGTTCCGCCATGTTTTGGAAGGATTCCGGAACTTTCTCCACTCTAGAACCTTCTCCCGATTTTGTTTAACTTCTTTCGCATACCGGAAGATTTCAAATAAAAAGAAAAATCACAGTTGATCTATAATCTTGACAATTCTCTTCCACCTAAGTTTTGACATCCTCATCAAGGTCTCTGTGTGTACACCTTGATGTGGTTTTTGAATTGCCCCGGCTCTCGCTCGCCACGTCACCTTGCTACCCGGTGAACCCATCCGCCGAGCCAGGGACGGAACTAGAATTGAATTAAAGGGGACTTTATTTAATTATACATATAAAATAGTATATACTCCCTCCGTCCCAAAAGATTTGTTTTGTTTTTCCATTTTCGTTCGTCCCAAAAGATTTGTTTTGTTTTTCCATTTTCGTTCGTCCCAAAACAATTGTCTTGTTTTTTTATTGAGTAGCCGTGGTCCCCACTTTATAACAAAATTATTCATACCTTTTCATACTACCCCTAATTATTACTCTAACATACTCTTTAAAATCCTTCAAAAAGTAAGGGCATTTTAGTCATTTATATTCTATTTTATACCCACCTTCAATTAAATACTATTATTCCTTAATTCTCGTGCCAACTCTCAATAAGACACTTCTTTTGGGACGGAGGAAGTATCTATTTACTAGCCGATAAAATAATAGTGTTTAGCTATATCACAAATCCAAAATATGATTTATATGCATTTTGTGTTGGCTATATAAAAAAATCTAAATATCGTTTAGATATCAATAATTATGTAAACTTTAAATTCTAATATTACAAAATAGGGAGCAACAACCGTAGTAGGAATAATTTTAAATTGAAGTAATAGTTTGATAACGATATAAATATGTATTGGTGTGACATTTTAAATGTAAAATTAATTTTTAGTATAAGGTATAATAAAATAAGTGTTTTATTTGATTTTTTTTAGAGAAAAAAAAAATTAAAATAGCAAAACTATGTACAAAATTTTACAAGTAAACACATCTTATTATTGTAAATATTTATTTTTGTATTTTAAAAATCAATAAATAATATATATTTCAATTAAAATAATACAAGCAAAATTCAACTCTAGAATTTTAGTATTTATTTTGTGCCTTCAATTTTTTATATTAAATATATATGTATAATATTGTTTTTTTTTTTTTCCTTGTGAAGCCCACCGTTGCCCCGACGTGCTTCCGCCCCTGCGCCGAGCCATGGCTCCACTTGACGTGGTATGTCCTAATCACCCACTCGTCTTTACTTTGAGGTCCTTTCAACATCTTGCCACATGCTCGTCTTTTAGGCTCAAACTCGGGATCAACCTCTTTTCCAAGGGTCTTAAAAGTAAATTCGACCTGAAAAATCGAACTCGTTAGACTTGAAAATTTTTAAGTTCGGGTTTAAAAAAAATCGAGTCGATCCGAACCCGAAACGAAAAAAATTAGTGTCATGTTCGGGTCGTGTTTCGGGTTGACCTAATAATCTGAAATATAAAAATCAGGTTAAGTTTTCGGTTTCGTGTTTCGGGTTGACCTGAAATTTTTATTATTATTATTATTATTTTAATTTTTATATTATTTTAAATAATATAAAAATAAAAATAAAAATGATATTTCTTTAGGTCAATTTAATTTTTTTTTAAAGTTTTCGGGTTTATTTCGTATCGGGTTTGTTTGGGTTTCGAATGACCTGAAACTAATTCAAATCAACCTGAACCCGACCTGAAAGAATTCGTGTCGTGTTCGGGTTTAGGGTTTCAGATCAGATTTCGGGTTCGGGTTGACAATTCTTTTGTTATCTTCATGGCTCAACCCGACACGAACACGACCCAATAACACGAATTGACACCCCTACTCTTTTCTAGGTGGTAACACCTCAGGTATATCATGTGGCATCGCCTCTGTGTGCTCGTTCGTGATATCAGGTTCCGCCTACCATGTCTTGGCCATTAACCGGGACATTCCCGTAAGTCTTTGAGATATCTTGACCATCAACTAAGACATCCTCGCGCACCTTCGAGACATCTTGATCATCAACCAGGACATTATCCTCAATCATCGCCAAGGCTTCTCGAGTATCGTCATTCTCTTTGTCCACGTCCAACACTTGCATTGACAAAATCACACAAGACTGAGGGTTCATTTGAATTGACTTAAAAATATAAGTACAAGTCAGAAACCAAAAGCAGAAGCAGTTAAATTTTGTGTTTGGGTGAATTGTTATAAAAACAAAACTCTATAAATGTAACAAAATTAAAAGTGCAAGATTACTCAAAAGGCATTCCGTTTGATATAATTGTATTTTTCTATAAAATTTATATGATTTATTTTTAAATTTTATTAATTATATTTGAAGATTTTAAAATAAGTATACAAAAATATTTTTAAAATTTAGTTATTTATATTTTAAAATTTAAATTTAAAAGTAAAATATAAACTAAAATAAATTACAATCTAATATTAAATTATTAGTATTTTACAATTTATTTTAAAATTTAATAAATTATATTTAATAATTTAGCATAATTAAAGAATTTAAATACTCCTATTAAAATTTGGTATCTCAATTATAATTTTAAATTTTTTATTTTAA